CTAAAAGCCTATATAATTTCCCAATTGAATAATAAAAAGTGAAACGATATTTACTTAGTCTATTGAACACAAATCAGCAATGTGTATTTTACTTTAACTGCGAGTTATATAGCATTAAAATCTTTATTTTTTCATTTCAATGATTCATTGTCTTTAATTTACGCCTGTACGAGATTGATTTTTTATTCAATTAACATAGACACCAACCAGCTTCATATTTGAAACATAATTATTTTAAAAGTAATAAAATGCTATTTTAAACTATAGAAATATTTCATTTGCAATGGCATGTGGTTTAATTTTACCCTCATCACCGTGGGTTTGGATTACTACAGGGTCTTTGGATTTTTGCATGTAAGGGGGATATATGGATAGTTAACGACACGCAAGTGAGTCTACTCAGGTACCAGTTCATTTCTGAAATAACGCTCTTAGGATCATTTATGGTCTGCCTCTACCAGTAAAACTTGAAAGTCGCCATATGACTTTAACTGTGTTGGTGGGACGTCAAACACTACCAAAGTAGTTTGAATCGCTTACAGTGAAATTATGTTTCTTTTAAATGAATTTTATAAACATAAATGTAATTGTGAAATATAACTAAAATTATAGGGACATATAACTTGCAAATCATTGAACTTTATAATCCATTTATTACATGCGCAATAGTTATATTAAAAATGCTTTGTTATTTTTAATAATGACGGTAAAGAAGGTAATAAACTACTTTCATTGTGATAATCAATTATCAATCGTTGAATTTGAAGGAGATAACGTAACAAAAATGTAGAACCTCATCTAAATGAAATTTCATGAAGTGTGGCATGTTATTAAGCGCAATAATTTTACGGGTTTTAAACCACAGAATATGAAAAATAATTTCTTCATACCTGTGTCATGGAAAAAAAACTTAAAAGTATTATTTAGAAATGCAAATACATTACTATTTTCACATAAAACAAAATATACACTACAGACGAACAATATGCATGCATCTGCTTTAAATATCTTTGAGATTGCGCTTTTTTTGTGATTGTGTGTTTGTGTTTTCTGCTGAGAAGAAATGTAACGTGTTTAAGCGATTAGAAGGATATTGGCGCCTGATTGCCAATTTTTGTTTGCAAAATGTTATTTATTTTGCAGCATGCTTTGGACAAAATTTGACTTTATATTAAGTTATGTAAAATAAAACATTAGTTAAGCCATCTTCAAGGGCAAAAATCACAGATTAACGATTTTATTATATTTAAAATCAAAAGACAATCATATTATTGACATCCTACCTTTTCTGTATTGCTTGACCTTTTTTTTTAGTATTGATATCTGGAAAAAAACAGTGATCCTTCGGAAGCATAACAAACAACTAAGCTACATGATAATTGCAGACTCGGTTTGATTGAGTCTGTACATGATAGATTATGAAAAATAGCAACATATCCACGCCCCCTAGCACACCCTAGACTTGAACGGTACTCAATTTTCAATACTTAATGTGCAGCAATCAATGATCTTGAAGAACCAGAAAATATAATAACACTGAAGTGCAAAAGCCATAATGCAATCGTAAACAGACATATTTTATGCAAGCCAGTTCATTCAGTATGCATGTAATGAAAACAACCCACAGTACAACTAACAACTTTCTTACGAACAAAACATTTTATCATTGAAGCGAGCTCAATGGTTCGTTTTGAATGTTTCATTCCATCGTTCTTATTTATAAGAAATAAAAAATGGAAATAAAAAAAAGAAACATTTTTTTCTCACTAAATTTTATCCCCAAAAATCCCCAAATTAAATATTTATGATAAATGATATTACCGACACATGCGTGATGTTCGATGCATATACATTTTGTTTTTGTTAAGGTCAATTCAATACAAAGGTGCCAGTTCATACATAATATAATGCACGGTAAGAAATCTTATGTAATGGTCATCATTTTGCGACGCATATTTGTTTTTATTACCATTATTTTTATTTTATGTTGTTGTTGTTTATGTATAAACGCACCTGCAATGAGAAATATTTGTTTCTCTTGATACCAAACCATTTCTTATTTGATCAAAAAACTATCATATTTCAAAACTGCTTCTCAAGTGTACATCTGTATTATTCCAAATCAATGGCAAAACCAGACACATAAAACATATGATCAAATGGAACATCTATAATAAAAAATGTCCTTTAATGTTCCTTCCCGTGTCTGTCATCACACATTTAAAACTCGTAAACACGAAACCTAGTCAAATTCGTTCTATAAATATTGCTTTAACTGCATTAAGGAATAAATTTAAGACAATGCCATAGGAAAAAACATTACATAATACAAAATTGTATACGAACACAGCAAAAAAAATCAGACTTAAAATTACATCATATATCAATCATTTGCCCCCTTGGTGTTATGTGTGTCTTTTATCGGACCACTGTAAAAGAAATGACTTTATGCAACCAAGCTTCTTCCATGACATTAAAAATTAATCCTATCACTTAGACAGTGACAGCACTAAATGAAAAATTATTTGTAACAGCAGCAAATATAAACAATGTAGTATGTTTAGTTCCATACAAAATACTAAATCACCATAACTGTACTAATTACCAAACTGCAACGGATGAAAAAGACAGTTAAGTTAACTGTGTGATGAACACTAGTGATTTATATCTGTATCATATTTCAGTAAACTGAAGAGAGAAACAAATGATTAGGAAAGACTTGCTCATTTCTAATTGGAAAATTGAAAATAATGCGATTATTGTATGCCTTTCGAGCAGTCTGAATAATTAAATTATTATGGTTTAATTGTTCAAATCTGACTGATGCTTTTCAAATTATTCAAAGTTACAATCTAATTAGTGTTTCCAATGGTATAATTATCGAATAATTAACAACAATGAAAGCTTTTTCCTGACAAAATTATATAAGACAAGAACAATTGAAACATTAAAAAAATCAAAACTTTGGAAAAATAAAAATGTGTGTCACATTGCAGACAAAAAAAGCATGAACTGTCCATCGATTTACTTTTATTCCATAATTAGAGTGTAAATTTAAAGCAATTTTTATATTTTTGATGTTTTTATTATTATTTAAAAGATCTGCAACATATCAAAGAAAGTTCCATAACTTGACATGGTTTCTAAGAATGTAACTATAACCTAAACAAAATAAGATCGATGAGCAATTGAAATTTGTTCAAGACTTGAATGTTAATTGAGGAAGTCTATTTACCAGAGCTTGAGTGAAATATCGGTCAATCTTCTATGATATAAAAGGTTATCATTAATTACAATTACATTTAGAAAATATTTTTTATTTATATACCAATTGATTGTAAAATACATGTTTGTGTTTCTCCTTTATAAATGATGGAATATTCGTTATATCAAGACATTGAAATCAGAAACTAAATTTATTTTGAACTCTTTCTTTTTTTTCTTTTCCAGGTTCATTTATTTCTCGTCGTCGGTTTCAATAACGTATTTGACATTTTTTTTCAACAAATTAGGTTTGATCTTGCTCTCACTGATCTGTTTCAACGCCAATTGTTTTACCAGCTTTATCTGCTTTTATCAGAAAAAGTTGTTAAAATATTACTGAAAAAGTGGTATCAATCACGCTATAATTGAATAAGAAACCAGTTTGAACAGAAATTGAACTCTAGAATGTGTTCTGGTTTATATTTAATTTATACAATAACACGATTCCTATTGCATGTACAAACTATAATATATTTCACCTCTTTTTACATTATGTGAATAAATAGGCAATATTTGACCCCTACCCAACCCCCACAAACACATACGCAAAAAGAATGAAATACAAAATGACTGATACCCAAGTCACAATTTTGAACAGCATTATAATTGCGATATAATTAATCAAATGTTCTCACGCTACCCAGTCATTGCCGTTTTGCGTTTCTATATGGCTTCAGTCGTTTCAGTTTGGTTTTACGGCGCACCAACGGGTTATAAAGCGCCGAAACAGGAAATATAGTCCTGGCTTACCCCGGTTTTTACAAACTTAAAGCAACACCTACAAGAAGAACGTTCACCTGCAAATAAGTATAAGGATCGGAAATGGAACTGTTGTAAACGATTAACCTATTGGTTTTGTCCATATTACGTTTCTCTATTGCACATAATGATTGTTTTGTTTTTACAATGTGTACCAGTAGCGGATGTTAAAAGCTATCCGGTTTTCTGCAATGTCATTTTACAGCTTTCACATGGCTTTTTAACTTTTTATAACTTATTATAATATTTTTTACCATTACTTTCGATGGATAAATAAAACTGAGCCTGCAACATTTTATAATTTTCCTGTTAAGGGTGCTCTTTTTGGTTTCAGGTTTTCTCTACTTTAGAGGAAGTAACTAATGTTTACTAAATTGTTTGTTCTTTTCTGTCAATCTTAGATATTACAAAATATTTTCGTTGTATATTTATAAACAGTATGGTTATTGGCAGTGTGCTTTACAGGCTATAAAATAACTGTCTCAACAGGCACTATCCAAAACAACAACAACAACAACTGCAAGGCGAAACACGTATTTATTGGTAGACAAATGAGAAGAAGACAATCGTAATTACAATAATACTTTTCTATTACAATATAATTTTATAAACAAAGAATAAATCCCTCATTAATCATGTGTATTCTATTAGATATATATATAAGCATGCTACAATCGAAAATGCGATTGGCGTCATGTTAATAATCTGATAAAACCTCTAAAGCAAAGCTAGAGAATGTTTTCAATCATGACAGAAATCGAAAATTCAACCGTATATTTCTTCATCAGAATACGGGCCGCCCACGAAAAACCCCTATCTTTTCTTTTCATTATTTTTTAAAAACAGGAGGAAACGTGTTTCCGTAGCCTAGTCAATACGTTAACATTGAAATACCCCGACTATTCCTAGAAATACTGAACAACGGAAACAGTTCAGACATGCCTCTTAATTATAACAAATAAAACATCATTTTGAATTTTAATGTAGTTAACGACGTGTACCAAGCAGGAGTCTCTGTAGAACTGACCACTAACCGTGCAGGGGGCGAGGACGGTACTTTGCACTAAACAGTACCGTCCATGAACAGGCTCAATCACACCGAGCCTGCAACATTTTCAATTTTGTCGTGTTGGGCTTTCTTTAGGGATTCTTATTTTCTCTATTCTATTGCATTAAAATATAAATGATAATACATGTATTGATAAGTCTACATGTTATAGGTTTGCTGGCTAATAATAGTATCTATGATGGAGTAAGAGGAATATTGTAAAGGGTGACTTAGTCTGGATGTTGAGGCTTATTTTCTGAATTTGCGAGTTTCGGCAGGTAACATAATGACCTATCTAGACTTGAGGTTAAAATAGTGTTCATTAGTACTGATGACAGGGTCCATGGTGTAAATCCACCGGATGGTTGCATGACAATATAGATATTATTCCACACTCTAGTAGGCCAGTACTGGTCTGTTAAGGGAAAAAAATGTCCTTAAACTTGGATCAAGCAATATAAATTATAAAGTTTCAAAAATATCATATTATGAATTGTAATTCTAATTTTTTCTAACATATGCATATTTTGAAAAGGACAGCTCCTGTCTTATATTTTTGTAATAGAGGGACACCGGTCTCAACCTACAGGTATCGGGCAGAGTAAACCCGACTACAGACTTTTCATAGAGTAAATTGTTGCTTGCAAGTGAATAATTTGTACACTAAATTTTATAGTGGGTGATTTGTGCCACACGAAAACCGACGGAATACAAAAAGTAACCGGGCGCCACATGGAAACATAAATATACCAGAAAGTGGTTTGTTTGTTGTATTTTTATGTTAACGCCCGGTGCCCTCTGATGCAAAATACAGCATGGCACAAATTAGCCTTCATAAAATTTCGTATCTAGAAATAAAGGTTAGTCTTTTTTATCTGTACAAAGAATAAGATATTGCACATGTATTAGTTCAGTTATATTCACTTTTAAACTGACCTGATACAAATAATGGCACAACCAATAACTGTCTACGCCCTTCTTTAGCAAAAAAAAAAAAATAAAACATATAAATTGTTATTTTAATTAAGACAATAGGTATGTAAGTTTTTCTTTTTCTTATTTGTATTAATTAAGAATTAATCTACCTATTAATTAAAATATCTAAATGCATCTGTCACGGTTTAGAACTGTTCACTATTTAGGTGATAAAAAATCTGTAGACGGCCAGATAGCCCAATCGCTACAGCCGCGGTACATTATTATATGGGTCACAGGCTCGAGCTTTGGTCAGGCTGCACATTTTCTCATATAAACCAGAGTTTAATTCTCTATGCTCTGTAAACATCAGAAATTCTAGGACAAATATCAATTTAGTGGGTGAATATGTTATGGTTGTCTAGAACTGTTCATTACTAAAGAGATAATGTGTAGCCGGCCGGATAGCTCAGTTGGTCTTCTGACATTTATGAGTTCGAGTCATGGTCAGGCAGTTTCAGTCAGGGTAAATTTAGAAGTGTTTTTTAAACTGACACATGTTTTATTAATTTAACAGATTGTATAAAATTTGAAATGGACAAAGCAGTATGTTTGATACTTTTAGATCTACAAAAGGTATTTGATACAGTTGATCACGCTATTATGCACATGAAACTTCAAGTATCTGCCATAGATAATGACATTCTTACATGGTTCAAGTCTTATCTTTGACAGACAGCAGCTGACAGGGGGTTCATTTTAGGTCCTCTTTTATGTCTAATATATGTCAAGGACATGTCTGCAACCCTAAGCAATAAGCATTTTCATTATATGCTGATGACTCAGGTACCCTGAAGAAATCCTCTCATTTGGAATGAGAATTTTAGTGATTGGTTAATTGACTAAATTGTCTTTTCATCTTGGCAAGACAAAGTCTATACGTTTGGGTTCAAGTTTCAAAAGCCTCCAGGTCACATGTATAGGTACTGGTATAAAGTACACATCTTCTGTTAAGTATTTATGTGCAGGTCTTGATCAAATATATTTTGGCGTCGTCTTTGATGCTTTGCATCAATGCAATTTTTGTTTTTATTATTATGATAACAAAATTGCGTATGGCCTGACGCTGTAAATCGCTATATCGTCGCACCGCTAGAAATCAATTGAAAATAAAATCAAACAATTGAATCTAAAACAATAATTCACTTCATAACTTTATTAAAGACAAGTTTGTTATAAGTTATTTTTCCTTTTACTAAATGGTTTAAAGCTATTTCCTAGAATCTTTTGATACATTAAAAAAGTAAAATAGTGAAATGATAAGATGATGATTGTTAAAAATGTCACGCATTTGATTTTTTTTTTATCAAAACAAATGTGTAGGCAATATGCACGTACAAAATATTTTGGTAAGTAGAAATCATTACATTTTGATACACAAGCGAACTTGATATTGATATTTCTGTTAAGCTCATTTTCTCCAGGCAGTTTCATATCCTAATCATATTAAAATATCAACTGTCGGTCAATAAGCATTTAACTAACTATTCCTTTGAAAATTTATACAGTCAATTAAGCTCAACTAGACAATAAAATGAACATTATGTCGCTTGAAGTTTTGATTACCAGACATAAATCAATGTGTGTATGTACAAATTCTTTCTTCTTTCTTCTCAAGGTCTTATCCGACCAGGTAAGGGTCAACTTTTTGCGCTAATTGAAACTTAAATTGAATACAACCAAGGTTGCTCCGAATGGTCGGGTCGTCTTTAACAGAAATTGTCACTCTGTAAGTTCTTCCATTCTGCAAAAAATACGTATGCATGTATAAAATAGAGAAAATAAGAATCCCTAAAGAAAGCCCAACACGGCAAAATTGAAAATGTTGCAGGCTCGGTTTGATTGAGCCTGTTCATGGACGGTACTGTCAAGTGCAAACTACTGCCCACGCCCCCTAGCACCGGCTTAAGCAGAATTCAACATTAAAACATGAAATGGTAAAATTTTGAATTTAGAAACATCCGCAAATGTGTTCATACGGAGGTTATCATGGAACTTCAATGTGACACTTCCGTGCCATTCCATGACAAGCGGCGTATGGTCCCCAAGTAATAAAAAGCGTGTGCCCTAAACGAGAAAACAATGATAAGACGTCAAAAGACAAGTTAAAAAGCAGGCAACATATCCTAAGGGTGATTCAACATTATTCAAAACCACCCAACTAGAAAATGCAAACCCTCTTTTTTCATACAAAGGAAAGGAAGGAAATAAAACTATTTGTGTATTGTGTTTGATAAAACTAATGCCTTTGTGTCTTTTTCGAAATCAGTAAAAAACATCATGAATGCCAACGAAAATAATGTTCACTTATTAGCTAGTTATAATCAAATTTTACATAATACACTTAACAAATTTTATAAGTGTGCAGGAATAAATGGTGTCATATGTGTGCCAATTTTTGTAACATATTGCTGAAGTTTTCAATAAATACAGTTGAGAGACATGATATAATATTCCAATTATTAAATTTCATAAGAAACACAAATTTGATGAACATGCCGAATAAATGTGATATTGCGTTATAAGCAAATGTCACAAAATAAATGTATCTTTGAAAATTATTCTAGTATTGTATGCCTGTCCTGACTGTTGATCACAGCTTGGCTTAAATGTTGTCGTATGGATGTGAATCAATATTTTTCATTATAGTGGAGTTTATTTATTCATTATTGGACAATTTTCGCATATTTGTAGGCGATGGTATGCGGCACTGCACCAACACTTCTTATGAGGGTGTTCATTTCACACCGTATAGTTTCTATTGCATTTAAGTATAGCTAGAAATTTTGGTGATATTCCATTAGCTTATGTTGAGAAAGATTGTTGGCGCTTTGGACGTGTGTATCTGTTATATGGCATCCTGTAGAAACTGCAATCATATGTTGTTCTTTAGACATTGATAAAACCTTAGTATGAGGTTCATCATATTGGTGGTGATTGGCACTGGGATAACCGTTAATGAACATATTGTTAGTAACAGCAGTTTTCCTGAACGTCCCTGTGGATTACAAATTTCAGACAATCGCCTAGTAACAAACCAAGATTTCTTAAAACTAAATAATACCACAAAACCATGCTTAAAATGATAAATCAAACTGCTGTGTTGCTTTTTAAGTCAAGGTAGGCATACGTTGATTTAGAACAAAAATCACAGATGTAATAATTTTTGTGACATTTAGTTCTTACGCACCATCACATTTATTGGGCATGTGAGTTGAATTTGTGTTTGTTATGAAATTAAATTACTGGAATATCATACCATGTCCTTCAACTGTATTTGTGGAAAATTTCAGCATGATAAGGTCAATATTGACTCACATTATATAATGTTTATACATGCACACTTATAACATTTGTTAAGTGTATATGGTACGCAAGATAAAACGCAATATAATATGTACAAACAGATGAACCTGCATACAAAATGAACAAACACACACAAACTTTTTAATCACGAACATGTGATTACAGACATAGAGAGCATTTCGGATTTATATATTCTTTCATATTTTAGGTGGATTGTTCGTCACACCATAATTACTTGTGCAGGATCACCTCAGGTACCCCACCGTGCATAATTACAGGCACGCACGGGCACATGAAATAAACCCTTATTTTAATATACCTTCAACACAGGAATGAATTCAAGACCTTGACAACATTCAAAACGTTGAGGGACTAGTGGTTTGAAAAATCAAATACCTTAACCACTCGGCAACGGATACCACAATATCTTGTCAACATGGACCAAATATTAATATACTTACTTGGAAAATCAGTTTTAAAATGCCTGTTGGAACGTTTAAAGTGAGAGGCTCGTGACAAATTATGACGTCCTTTGGATATAAAGGAAAACGCGCTTTGTACCCTAATGCCTTCAGCAGAATTGCACTAAGTTGCTGACCAAAACTATTGGATATGACTGATGTACCATTGTGCATATTTTCCAATAAAGTTCTAAAATCAAAGTTTTGGCTGTAAAAATAAAAAATAAAATTAAATTCTAAACATACTCAAATTATAACATTCTTCTTAATTAAGAATGCCTTGTATTTGGCTGATATTTTTTTCGTTTTAACCAAGGTGAACGCTTTAAGGACGTTGTCTCTTTTCCTACATTATTTCACACTTTTCATATTTAGTATACGTTGTAATAACATGAACTTTTTTATAATGATAATAGTAATAATAGGAATAATTATAATAATGATAATGGTGATTATCATATTCATTGTCATAATTATTATTGTTATTATCACCATCATCGTTAATAAATAAATGATGATAATGGAAATAATTATAATGTATTATCACCATCATCGTTAATAAATAAATGATGATAATGGAAATAATTATAATGATTATGTAAATAATAAAAATGATAGTTGCTCCATTAAACTGCACGTTTGTAAATGTCTAACGGCTGCTCGAGTTAAAGTGTCAAGCACCCGTCCGTTGGTATTGACATTGACCGAAGTAATTTTTATTATAATTATAATTTTTATTCATCACACCAATATTATACTTGTGATATGGCGACATTCAAGAATTATGGTAAAGGTAGACCTCAACATGGCACCAGAGTAGAACAATTAAGGTACAAAACTTAAAATTCCATTTGTGTTGGATTTTATTGAAAACTTCTTGTAGCATATGGATGTGCATTTAGACATTTTAAATGTCCCCATTTTATAAGGAAGTATTGCCTTTTTGAACAAATGTATATATGCGTGCCTGTAAAATCCTAAACTATTTTCTACTCTTTGTAAGATGCCCAGAAAATGACGATTATTAATTTCTCCCTTCATACATGTCATACGGTTGTTACTATAGAAATATGACTCATTTTGCGAATAACATGGAATGAAATAGATTGAACTTGCAAAATGGTCATAGTGTAGATCTAATGACTTTGTTTTAGTGAATTCAGTTTACATTATCAGAATGTCTATAGAATTATATGGTTCGAGAGGTCTATGATATATTAGGTTCATTCAGCGTTTTTCATCGTAAGGACTTCGATTTGTAGGGGAATACGTGTTAATTTGTTTTAATTTAGTGTTCTCCATCAAAAATAAAATCTCAGTTTACTTGATTAATTAGCATTATTATCTGATACGTCTATTTGACGTTAAAAGGGCATTTTAAAACTAAATATGCATGTTTATTACAGAGGATAGTTATATTTTACTGTATTTTCAAAAAGCAAATACATTTGTGATATATAAAATGGGAAAAGGGGACTTTTTAAAGTAATTGCTTTGAAATATTTGGATAGATTGCATAAAAAGAACATTATAAAAATAGTATATAATAGCTTTTACTTACCATGACCCAATGCTTGTTGATCCTATGCATGGTATTTTCGTCCAAACTCCCAATGTCTGTATTTCAAGAACAGTATCAACAAAGAAGTGAGTTATTGGGTGGTTAATGGATATGTAAGTGCTGATTTGAATTTGTCCCGGAAACGGAATTACTGCTGGAGATATATCTAGGGAACGAACAGTCAGGAGTGTGGCGGTTTTATCGGTTGCTGAAATATATGGAAATATTTTAATTTCATTAAACTTTAATGATAAACTTAATTTGCAAGTACAGCGTGTAATAAGAGTATCAAATTGATCATAGATAGTTCAAATCTATTTTGAGAATTGGCATATTTCACTTAAATATTTCAAATAATAAATGATAAAGATAAATAAAATGTATGATTAATTATTGACATTTCTGTCATGAAAAAAATGTTCTAGAAAAATTAAATTTCATTTCATGTATCTTAAAATTACAAACCACATCATTATATAGTTGTTTCGCTCTTTGCCATCTTTGATACTATATACTACATGTATCAACATTATTAGTAATAATTTATTACTTACCTTCCATAATAAACTATTTCATTTTTAGTAAGGACATTTAAGAAATATATGGTTGGATATAAACATAAAACAACGATACATATCAAGAAAGAGGCAATCGAAATGAGATACTTACAACAACAATATATATATATATATATGTTTGTAACAGCATTAACCAGTCGTTTTGGGACTCTCTCGGCATTGCTGACATGTATTTCTCTTTTATCTTAATGTACGGTTCCTATTCTTTCTTTAATTATTATTATTTTTTAAATATGCGTTTCTCATTTCCAAATGTCGTTCCCATGAATCAGTAAGAAAAGTAAGAAACCAACTACTAATTCCACATGAACTCTGAATTCGCCGTGGAAACAAATAACCCTTATACTCGCCTCTTAGCCAACGTGCTCATACATATTCATTTTGTGATTTATTTGAGTTTTTCGTTTGCGCTTATTAAAGATGCTAAAATAATATTCATGTCTAAATAAGTTTGTATTCCTTGCCTAACAGGGCCATATACTATGTGTCTATGAATCACTTTGAAATGTAGAGAAAATCACCATGTTTCATTTCAACTATGTCATAGTCCAAGTTGTACGATGTTAAAACAAAACCAATCTTTGGAAACATATAAATACTTCAGCACATTGTTTCAAAAATGGATTCGTATACCTGTTTGTGACCCGTTCCAAGAACAGTTTCATAAAAGCTACCGATCCTTTTATTCTTTAGTAAAAGGAATAAAACAGTTCACTTAATCACTCAAACGTGTCATACAGCTTTAACCTTTTTAATAATGATGTACGAAGTAGTCTCTTAAATTACGTCACAATTGCAATACACAAAAAAAATGGAAATTTCTGTAGAATATGTTAATTTCTGAAAACACCAAGCGATCGCGATTCAGTTATGCATTTTTTATTTTATTATTATGATTTGTTGATAAATATAATTTTATCAATTAGTCTTTTCCAAATATATCTATAATTAATATTAAGATGAAGACTATTTAAAGTTGTCTCACCACAGTCAGTAAATTCGAGGGTTGTTGCCAAAGCCAACGAAGATGCCAACAAGAGCAGGATTCCCAACATGATTGTTGCAAGAATATAAACAACGTTTTAAATGTCACATTTATTTACTATTCTTATATATACACGCATGTTATCTCTATTGTGCAAGACAGTCCTAGTTACAGTAAAATTCGGATACATCCATGGTTGCCGAAGGTTTAACGTTCTTTGGAATAACACTGTCTATTGGTGTATGAATATTAAAGCTTATTAAAATTACTTATATTTGTGCAACACTTGCTATTGGTATCGTTGAAGAATGAAATCTGTCATACCCTGAAATATCGGTATTTAGAACATGATAAATAATGGCAAATTTTTTAGCATTCGGACTGGTGGCAATCCATTAATTGACTCCGCAGTGTCTGTTAGTTTGGCAAACTGGCAAAACATATTTTAGCATAATAGTATGTTTTGGTGAGAATCCGATTTACTGTTAAAACGTTTAAATCTCTGTACCCAATCTTTAAACGCAGTTGTATAGTCTTTTAGGTGTACTATAAAGACACTGTAATATTGAATATCTATTATCTATATCTATATCTATCTATACGCTATTTGTCTAATGGTGTACATAGCATGGACATAAGCTATTGCCTTCACTTTAGCAACCATTTGGACAGACGTTCCTGTTTTAGGCCGACGGACATGAGGTGCATCTTCACTCGAAATTAACCCTATTAAATATATCAAACCAATGAATAAATGATAAAAAAGACATTTTATTTTGTCCATATACAGAACAGATTTCATCAAAAATGCGTTTACACTCTATGCCAAAAATACAACAATTATTGATATAAAACTGTATTTCAATGGTATACTCTGATAGTCAACCAACCATTTTTGTATTACATTATATAAGTAGACAATGGATAACGAGCTATATAACTCGGCTGAAGTAATGATTGTAATTAATTTTGTATCAATGTTAAGCTTACATGAATATCTACCCGATTACCTTCATTTCTCCTGGGTTTTTTTTTTTAATTTATGAAAACAAAATCACGCACAAAAACACAAAGAAAACGAAAAAACCCAAAGCCACAACGTTGTCAGGCAGAAAACAAAATATAAAATTGATAAGTATATCTTCTGACATTTTAAAGTAAGATTGGGGTAGTGTTCAAAGTTGATGTAACACGCAATTAACGCAAACAAAGTGACACGACATTGACGTAAGGGGTAGTGAGAAATGTCATTTAATCTACGATTTTTAATATTCAAGTGATCTGTTTTGATTTGTCTTAGTTAAAAAAATAAATAAAATATTTTATCATGTTTTCGTAGTTAGGTGACACATGAAATGATTTAAAAGTTGTTATTCTCGCGTGGGAAATTAAGCTTCAACATTGTACGTAAAAAAATCCTTAAAACCCGGTTATTCGATACAATTTTCATTTGCACATACTAATGCGGTTGGTTAAATCTCTTTTACATAAGCAAACAATATTTATTATCTTCAAAAGTGTTCATAACAAATAATGCTTTGAGGTGTGATCCATTTGAAATATATAGCGCCTCGTCCAAGATAGATAATTTTTGACAACTTGTCAAGTAGAATTCCGTTTTGTTCATGACATGGTATAACATCCTAATAAGTTATATTTCACTTTGCTAAAATCACAGTTTATGACACATTTCAATAAAAGAAAAGATTTCCTCATACTCTGTTTAAGATTTCAACATAAGTTTTATCTGAGTTCACTGAAATGTAGATTAAGTGTTTGATTGAATTATGCAGAACGACTGACAAGTGTCTTGAAAATCAACTAATGCCAGAACCATGTGTTTTGATTATTGTTTCTGTTTAAATGACGATAGACCAATTGTAAAAAACAACAACTAAATTGCGCTTGATTAAAACTAAATGATTTGTTTTCGTTTGCTAAAAGCAAAAAGTATATCGTGTGAATTGAGATTAATCGCTTTTGTCCGCCTTTCAAATCGCAAAGTGTATAAATGTGTTACGAAACAATTAAAAATTAAATGCGTTGTAAATAAGACAATCTATAATAGTATTCAAACAATTTGTCTTTGTTCCCCTCGAACTGACTTAAACATCATTTTGCAATATGTTATTCCTGACACATAACAAAATAAAAAATACATTATATTTTAATTTCTTTTAATCATTGTAAGATTTGTAAGATTTGTAAATGATTTACATGCTTTTGTATTTATGTAGACTTCTCAAAAAAAATAAAAAAGGACATGACAATGTTTCAAACGATAATATTGTAAAATTTCTTTACAAGATTTTAATATTATGCCATAATTTGTAGCATTAAGATGAGCCCCTCCTTGTGAGCATGTTAAACCGGTACAATCTAACTTTTTTAAGTTATACGTTTCAATCTACTATTCGTTAAAAACAACGTATTTTTATAACCTTGTTAAAATATATATTTTGAATTGATATTTAAAGGACTTCTCTAATATTTATGGATATGCAATGTGCCTCACATGTTTGAAATAATACAATTGTATTAAAGTGACATTATGACCAAGTGTCAATGGTGAGTGCACAGTCATGTAAAAGTCATAATAACTTTGTTTAATTATATATTTATACGTTACTATTCAAAAATAATAATCTACAAGACCGACTAAAATTCCTATATTTTTTATATCGTTCAAAATGCCTCGATAGCAGTCAGTTATTTAAAAAATAGTATCATTTAGGCAGTTTGTATATTTCATCCAAAACATTTTTCATTATCAATTGTACGGCAGTCACTATTTTCAAAGTCAATCTTTTGAAGTATAGTACAAATTAAATCCAACTTGAATTTATTTGGAAAACCTATTAACAGAAACGGCATGATGTGTCTACAAAGTATTATACTATCAGCATGCACTAATTAATTTACAGAATATCTAGATTATATAATAGTTTAACATTTTACTTGATTTGCTTTAAAATTACATATTGATTTTAAGGACATCAATAAACGTTGCATAATTGAGATTATTAGATCAGTTCAAGTGTTATGCACTGACAATATCAGTTGGTATCATATTTACTGTCATAAATTGATTATAATATCAAAAAAACATGTTTACGTTTAAACTTGACAATTGTAGGCACTACAAACAACCACTTAATTCTCAAAATCAAAACAAAACGTATACATTTATAAACTTGGTAAAATTTCATCAGCTTTTGACATAAATTTCACCCTTCAAAATGATATGTTTAAAAGTTTCCATTTAATGACAACTTCAACAAGTGATACAATTTACAATATTACAGGTGTGTAAATATGTCTTATCAATGATCCCTGCTGGCTCTATGTCACAAAAACTAGTTTTTTTGCATTTTGTTTTACCATAGATTGTCATAGGGCTCCGGAGGACTAACGGCCGGAGCATCTATCATAATAGTACAAAAAGAGCAAGTCTTAGAGTTAAAACGTTCAAATATTATCAGTGAATATATTTTACAAATATCATAGCCTTATTTTCAAACCAAAAATAACAATAACTCAACTTACAATTCAAATTTTAAGAAATAATTGTGCCCAACTTTGATTCGGTAACTTCTTAAGCATTAGTGCTGATTTATCGTTTACTGTAAATAGTTTGAAATTTATGAAGAAAGAAGTATCAGATTCATTTCTATTGAAAATAATCATCAGATAATATTAAATTGTTTTCCGCAAATCATCAACAGATGAAAAGAGTTTATGTATACGAATAGAAATTAAATGCCCAAAAAATGCCAGACAGTGTAGTGAGAGATCTGTCAGATCTGACAATAAAATAGCACAAGTAATATATTATCTCATTTGATGATTTCACGCAACAGTTCTGATACAGTTCTAACAATTAAGATCAGAAGTAAGTTTCAAATACATTGTTTATGCAGAACTTCTAAAGTGCTTAGAATGAAATGATTGTTTTTGCTTCATATCGTTTTTCGTGTATTGATGAATTGCATTTTTAGACACCATTTTCAATTACATCTACTACTCTGATAATCACTGCAAATAGAAATTACTGTGCCTGTGGTACCCAGGTTTCATAACTTCAGATCCCAGTTCAATGTTACATTGTGATTATTGTTGTCACGAGTTTTATTAAAATATATATGAAACACGATTTTATTGCTATTCCTGGCTGTTTCACATGTTTCTGTATAAGTTTTAATGAAACTCCCTATATATTTCTTTATTGGTACTGTTGTGGGAACATCTGTATTGTGACAAATTAATGGTCACACTAGACACGTTATAAACATTTAATCCAACGTAACATCAATTTTATATTCTTTCCTATGTCTGTCATCACACATTCAATGCTAATTATCACGTTCTTTAGTCATATGTTTCCCAGAAATATTGTTTTAACTGCAATAAGGAACAAAATTCAGACAATTTTCTAGGGAAAGTAGTTTTGCATTATTCAAAATAATCAACGCATATTGAAAATTATAGCTGGATTCATCGTACGTTATCATGGCACATTGGTGATATTTACTGATATAATTGTATTAACCTTATAGAACCATTGTTATTTTTTATAATATTTAACTCTGTAGCTACCGAACAGCGATCATAGCCAATTGCTAAACAAATTTTTATCAATTTAAACAAACTTCAGGGTAAGATCTTTTTTTATTTATTTGACAATAACTTTTTGCTGAGTTTAAACAACGTCTCCCCAAAAGAGATATGCGCATTAACAATCTCTTTTTATTGCTAGGAGATCATAATATTAATATTTATTATATGACAATGATATGACAAGAAATATAAATAATGGTTAACTTTGAAAAAGCATTTGGAAAAAAAATAAAAGTATTGCGATAACGCATATCGCTAAGACTTTTTGATTCCGATTCAAAACGCTGTTTAAATAATTCAGTTCTAGATGTTTTTAAACTGACTTATGTTCAAATTATCCCAAAGTACAATCTTATATTAAGTGTTTCTTAATGTATATGAATTGAATAATTCACAATGACGTAAACTAATGTGAAGTGAAAACGTAGTTAAGATTGCCTGTAATATTCAAGTTAAAGAAACAACGTCCAGAGAAATCATAAAGAATAAACTGGCCATTCACTTAACTTT